GAATTAGCTTAATGGTTACCATTAGAGACCACTAGTTTTCTGTAGGACACCTTTAGATCCCACTAGGAAACCGTCAAATGCATCTGGAGTCAAACCAGTAGAGTCCTTGACACTGTGATATCAACCCATCAGGAAAACACTAAATGTAGTTATAACAGAATTTTGGGGGGAGGAACATGGCTGAAATCCCTCTGTCTTCCAATGCAACACTCTATAAATTCACATCCTCACTTTCCGCTCCGTTCACCTTCACCTACCGTTCCCAAAACAAAGCAAGATCCAGCCTAAAATCTAAGAGTAGCTTGCTACACAAGTCTCATTCCAAAACAAACTATATTTATTTTTTATGCTTATAGATTTAATAATTATTATATAAGTATTTCATATTTATCAGATTTGTGTGTAAGCCTAAGTACATACACAGTAACTATTGTTTACACATTTTCCTACATATTTAGGTGTACATTTAAACACAAAATAAATAATGTATAAAATAATATCAGTAATATATGAACTGAAATTGTGGCATCAATTATACCCATTATGAACAGAGGCTATGGCCGCTTATTTTATTCACCCTCTTTACACTCTAGGAATCCATTATGTTGCTTAGGCTCTTTTTTTAGGCACTATTTTAATATGCTGCTGCATGTGAAAGACTCTCTGTATTACACACCAGCACATTTGTGCCTTGTTTACTGTGCTGTTGCATGTTGCCCCAAGGTCTTGGAGAAAGCTATTTCAACCATTGCACACCTGTATATGGCTGGAATGATTAACCTGACCTAAAACAGCATTGATTAAATAAATTGTTTGGCCTGTATTAAAAATTGAAAACAGTACCAAAAAATGATATTTGATGTTTTATCTTGCACTGGTTTTTGTTTGTGTTTTTAGTCTTAATGTGACGTGTCAACAGAAACCAGACGCTCGCGGATGTAAAAGACGATGGCGTTTAATAATACCAGGCAAACAAACTGAAAAGGGCTGAGCAAAAGACGAAGTCACAAAAACAGGCAAAAGTTTCCAAAACACAGATCAGTCAGAAGGGGCAAAAGTACAAAAGGGATGAAACAAAAAGGCAGAATCAATATAAACAAAGCAATGGTCAAAACACAGGATAATGGCAGTCAGAATACAAACGCTCAGTAGTTTACAAAGAAACAATACCTCGCACTGGTTTGCACTAAAGCCCGGGCGTATAAAGTAAACTACACAGGTGATACAAGTTAGTATTCGGGAGAGTTGGAGCGCTGATTGGAGCGTGAGTGAGTGTCAGAAGTCACATGAGCCCCCATTGAACTGTGGGCAATGGAGTCCGTGTCGGAGTCAGAGTCTGAGGGAAGTTGACGAGTCATGTGATCTCCCAGAGGATTCTGGGAGATGAAGTCCGTCTCTTTCTGAGAGTTCGCCGAATGCGTGACACTTAAATTGCTCCTGTTCCAACTTTTTTAGAACAGGCTGCAAGCATCATTTCAGAAGGCAAACAATTTCCGTTAGCTAGTACCAAGTGGCCAAGAAATAACCTTTTGCAAACAAGCGAAGTTTCAGTTTAAGATTTATTTGCAACTTATTTACAAGTTTAAGTTTAATAAAAACTTGCTTTAAACACAGATTCACAAATGAGTTTTCCTTTACTATATTGCATTTGTAGGTCTCTGTTCTTAAACATAAACTAGCAAAAACAAATTTACTATAAAATTAGATAGTTTTTGTATAAATTCAGAAGAAAGACACATGCCAGTCACAACCACATATGTGTACATATTTCTATATTGTGGACTATTTACACAAAGTTAGGTTAGTTTGATCATTTATGTAGGAATAGGCACTCTCAAAATTTTACGCTGCTGCACTGACGTTGAACTGTATGCTTACACTGGGTAGGTATGTCCAACAGGTCAAAACAAACTCAAAACAAAGTGCGTGCTGATTGGCACACCTAATTGGTGTGCTTGCTTCTCGCTTCTTTCGTTTTGACATGTTACGTTTTTATACACACATAAGCCAAAGGAACGACAGTTCTCACATGATGTAGTGGAGTAAAAAGTAAGATATTTGACTTTGAAATGTAGTGGAGTGAAAGTAAAAAGTCACCCAAAATGGAAATACTTTAGTAAAGTACAGATATACAAAAAAAACACTTAAGTACAGTAACGAATTACATTTACTTAGTTACTGTCCACCACTGTTAATTAATATATTTGAATCAGGCGTGTTAAGAGCACAAAAACAACAGCCCCATCCATCTTCTAAGCTGCTTATCCTCCTGGGTCACGGCATGGTGGGGGGTATTGGAGTCTATCCCAGCAGTCATTAGGTGGAAGGCAGGAAACACCCTGGACAGGTCACCAGGCCATCGCAGGGCAGATACACAGACATACACATATACACACACACAGACACACAGACATACACATTTACACTCACACATAGGGGCAATTTAGCATGTCCAAATGGCCTGACTGCATGTCTTTGGTCTGCAGGAGGAAACCGACGCACATGGGGAGAACATACAAACTCCACACAAGTGGCGCTACCCACTGCACCATGTGCCGCCCAGAACCACAGCTCTATGTTAGAAAATGTATCCATAAGTGCATATATACACTGACCAGCCACTTCATGAAGTCCACCTCCTTGTTTTTACACTCATTGTCCATTTTATCAGCTCCACTGACCATACAGTTTCACTTTGTAGATCTACAGACTGTAGTCCAACTGTTCCTTTGCATACTTTGTTACCCTGTTCTTCAATGGTCAGGACCCCCACAGGACCACCACAGAGCAGGTATTATTTGGGTGGTGGATCATTCTCAACACTGCAGTGACACTGACGTGGTGGTGGCATGTTAGTGTGTGTTACATGTGGATCAGATACAGCAGTGCATAATGTGTCCTGAGTAAGATTATATTAATAAATTGCCATTGCAAAACCCAGCAACTAATACTAATTCTATACTAATTTTAGTATAGACATCTGAGACAAAATGTCTGACATCTACTGATTTTGTGTACACCTGCTACAAAATGTGTTGCAAGTAGTTCAAGGACCTATATTTTTCCTCATAATGCCACTTTTCTTATAGATTCATGTGTCCATAGAATGATATCAATAAAGTGCCAGTGCAAAACTGTATTACTCAGCAATACTACTTGTGCTGATTTTGTCTATTTACCTAGTTTAAAATGTGGTGCTAGTGGATCAGAGATCTATTTTCCTTCATAATGCCAGTTTTCTTATAGATTGATGTTTCCTGAGTAAGATTATGTTAATAAAGTAACAGCAAAACAGTATTACTCAGCCGCTCCAGTTGTGAGCACGGGCAATAGTCAAACAGTCAGAAATCTGCTGTTTTTTTTCTATTCTGATATAAAATTTGGTGCCAGTGCTCCAAGGCCTACTATTTTCAAAATATTACTTTTCTTAAAGAACCGTGTGTTCTGAATAAGTGTGGACAGAGTAAATATTGATAAACAGTGTATATACAAAATTCTAGAAATAATTAAATGGAAATGATCAAGTGCACTCAGTCAGATCTTAATCATTAAGGTCGCATATATGGTAAACAGACTCCAGTTATATTGTGTCAAAGTGGCTTTAAGTCCAAACTGTCTAAATACGCATTTTGTATGTAAGATCTTAATCACATTTCCCCTTTTTAGGCTTGTATCCAAAAATACAACATTTAGATGTCATCCCTCTCTAATAGCCTCTCAGAATGTAGAGGTAATTTCAGACTCTTCTAAGGACAAGTAGAGGTTTGTAGAGTATGTGGAGCCACATAACCATCCAAATGGTTTTAATATTATTATGATAACCTTTTTTATCTTGCTTACTATTTATGATCTGATCAACACCCTTGGCCCTGTTTATATGAATACACAGCAGAAAAAATTGCCACTGACAAAGCGTGTCCTAGCCTGTCTATGGACACTGCCGAAGCAGTCATACAGGGGTATAGCAGAGTTTAATAAACACAGAGTGTACCTGCAGGCCCAGAGCTTTTTGTTTTCCTTGCAGTTCTTATTTGATTCATTTTGTCAGCCAAATACTCTTTATCTGGAAAAGTACATCAAAATGAATAATGTATTCTCAAAACCATTGCAGTCGCATCATCCTTTTATTGTTGACTCATCATTCTTCAGCCTTTCTGCAACAGTTTTTGGTGCACATATGGTGATATTTCCTTGGCTGTCCTTCAAAATGATAAGGATGTTGTCCATGTTGTGCATGCAATCGGCTGCTCTCGCAAAGAAAACTTACCTGTATATTTCCTTTTTTCTGCAGCAAACAGGTTTTGGGCAACAGAAGACGGGCATTACTGCTAGAGAGTGATGATTGATTGGCGAGCGGAGCAGCTCATTGGCTGTTCGCGCTCACTGACGTCATGGACATGCATGGGGTGCCGTTTTAAACTCCTATAACTCGAGTTTAAAAGCTCTTAAAAATATAACAGCAGTGTTAAAATGTGTTATGCTATTCAGTGTTCAGCAAATGATTGCATTATTTTACATTAAAAATGTTTAAGCATTTATAAACTATAATTTTGCTCAAATGCTCCATATCAACCCATTCATTTTGGACTCGCTCTGGAGCGCCCTCTAGCGTTTGAGAAAACCGGAAGATATTGCAGAGTGATAATTCTCCTCTCTACGAGTTCTCTGCCTGCAGCCACCTCGCACTCGCGAGATTACAACGCCGTATGTCATCGTGACGCAAGACAGACAAAAAAACTAACCGGCATACCGAGCAAGGCGGCGATAGGTTTGCGCAGCGCCGGGTTAAGTCGAACACGCCTAATAATTTGCTGCATTCCATTTCGCAGGGTCCCTAAGCAGTACTGTTATATTCCCTACACACTTGAGCACTGGATGCCGGTTAAGGGAACTGCATGTGAAAAAACCTTTATTCGGAACCTGCAATGACTGATGGGTAAACTGTCCTGCAGCTTCCTATAAAGTGATACACCGATGTTCACTATGTTCACTACTCCCTGTGCAGTTTGAAGTTCCCTTCCAATGGAACATTTTCACTTCCTGGGGTTTAGAATCACCCTTATTATGTCTGAATACCCTGTGCAGTACACTTTGCAGGGAACTACGAGGGCGATTGGAATTCACCTACTGAATTAGCTGTCTACAACTCCCGCATTTCCACGCGCGATTTCAGTTGTCCGCGGTTACTCGAGCTCGCGCGTCACCATGGAAGCAGTCGGTTTGTGACATGATGCGCCATTTTGATTCCAAACACCAATTGGAGTAGGCAGCAACGGCGACAGAACTAACCGTGGACCAAGAAGAAAGTCTAGAGAAGTTTGTAGTTTTCCACACGTTAAAGGACAAGTTGAACTGTAATTTTAAAGAAAAAACGCTGTTTGGGCTCGTTTTTATCGGAGGCCATGCTCATTATAAGGATGCCAGTTAATAACATCTAATACATGTGATGCATGAATCGTAACAGAGCTAGCTTACTGCTTTTTGAGATCAGGTTACATGGTCGTTTTTTCCATCATTAAGACACGTCGAATCGATGGTAGACAGCAGCAAGCTGCTAAGGTCCAATATTGTTTGCCCGATACAAGCAACTTTTTCCCCCCTTTTTTATGATTGAAACGGTTGCTGCACAGCCAGTGAACACTGTTTATAGCTAACTACATAAGGATGGCTCTTAAGAGGTTTGTTTGCTATTTATTTGCTACATCTATACTTAGTATTTCCACTTCTGTGCTGGCTAGACACGTATGTAACACTTAACTAGTTGGACGGGTAACTTTGGCTAGCAAGTTGAATCTTGGATTAAATTTGTGATAACATAGTGTGGAATACTGCAGTTCCTTAGTTACAAACTGATTTTACGCATGATTTGCGTTAAGGTACGTATTTGAGGTACGCTCTTTTTGGTTCATGTAAATTTCTCTGTCCCTATCCAGTGTCACAGCTGCACTGTCTGTTTCTTCTGAGTAAATTACTATATTTGGCCTTTGCAGCAGATTGTGTTACAAATTACTGTCTTGTGTATTGATTCCTAGGATTACCTTGTAGTTCATCTGTATAATCTCGCATTTGTAATTACATTTTTCTGATCTATTATTATTATTATTGTTATTATTATTATTATTATTATTATTATCATAGTGCCTTTATTAAGCTATAATGTAACATTTTTATATGCTCTCATGTTATGCATGCCTTACGTGATCAGGGACAGTTCATAGTGAAGCTTTCAGCTCTTAACACCGTTAATCATTTGAAATCTCGACAAATGTGCAGATTCTTAGCGATGACCTGCTGCCTCTTAGAAACCTTGGCTTTAGCCATATTCTGAGGAGTACCATCAACAATGATTTATGGACTAATACCTCCAGAACTACATGCACAACTCCTTGATTATGAGAACTTCCATAATCGAATAAATGGGGTAGAAGAGCTGAAAACCATTCTTTCCGATCTGGACTTGAAAACTGTTTCCTCTGACAGTATTGTGGAATTCATCCACTTTTTACATAGACTCCTAGATGACACTAACTTTAAAGTCCTGTATGGCACTCTACAGGTTATCAACCTCCTTGTTCAAAAACTGAATTACAGTGTGGACAGATATTATAAGCAGATTGTGTTTGTGGCTCTCAAAACGTTGGGAGACACACGCATTGTTTCCCGGAATGAATACATGAATGTTTTTAGGCAACTCATGAGGATTGTTGGTCCACAAAAGGTTTTGGATCTTGTAATAGGACACCTGAAGCACAAAAATTCCCGTGTTAGAGAGGATGTCCTCAACATCATTACAGCTGCAATACTCACACACCCTAGGAAAGACTTCAGCATCCCCGATCTGTGTTTTGTAGTTGCTCCTTATCTTGCAGACAACAAAAAGAGGGTCCGCCATGCAGCTCTAGAGCTTTTTGCTGTTTTTGACTACTGCCTTGACACAGGAAAAAAGCAGCCACTCATGAAGGCCATTGACAGGGTCGAGCTCACTGGAGATATGGAGGGGCTAATGGCTGCTGTACAGGCACGAAGGGCCAGGCACATTCTTCCTCGCCTGTCCGCAGATGGCATGGTAGAATACGCACTGGTTATCCCTAAGCCTGGTCAGCGACGCAGACCCCAGTTGGGCTCTGGGGCTGATCTGGACTGGGTCCTTAATGGAGGGAGAGTTAATAGTGCTAGCAGCCTCCGAGCAGAACTGGACCCGGATGGGCTGAGTGGCTACGGCAGCCTCGGATCCCTGACAGATGACCTACCGTTACACAGGAGAACAGTCAGCGCTGGAAAGGGGAAAAACAAGCTGCCCTGGGAGAGGTCAAGCCTCCAATGCACAGTAAACCTGCAGCCTAGCAGTGCATCAAATGAAAAGTCACCTGATAAGGTAGGTGTTTAGCTCGTGCTATTATTGTTGCATGCACAAAAAAATTAGGAGAGAACATATAGGGCAACATGAGAAAATTAATCAGACTTTTTTGCCTGGGTGTTTGTGCCATTTATTTGTCATTTAATTTTGACGACCATTTCCCAATTTTTCTTCGTCTTTAAAAATTACAATTAATAATCTTTGTTCAGAATCGTTGCACTCTTGTGCCTCGTTCAAAAAGCAGTCCTGAAACACTGCATATCTCCTGTGTGAATGGTCAGGGTTAACTTGCTGTAGCCCGACTAGGCAGATATATGTAAATGCATCGGTTATGTGGCTTCAAAAAACAGTGTATTCAAAATGTTTTTTTCATGATATGGGCCGTACAAGACATCCCCAAGCACTTTGCCTACCCATACATTATGCTAATACAGTGGTGAAATGACCCGTTATTGCTGTTAAGCTGCAAATGCTCTCACCTCAATGAGAGCATTTGCAGAGTGCACTTTAGCCATGGGGTTGAAAATTGCTCTCCACTTCAGAAATAATGTGTGTTTCTCCTGCTGCTTAGCCCCCTGTGAGCCTGCTGACCAGGGCATGGAAAGTGTAGACTGCTCAAAAAGGAATGACCAAATGACTACATGGTCATTATTTATTGATTGCTTAGGGGGTGCAATTTCACTTGTTTTTTTATTATGCCTTGCTTTTTTGTTTAAGGTCTACAGTTTAGTATATAATGTTGTTCTTTTATGCAGCTTTAATATAACCAAATCAGTGTGGGAGTTATGGGGTAGCCAGTAGGACCTTAGCTTACCCAAAAGAGATGTAAACTACATTTAAAAACAAAAGTCTGCATTTAAGGGGTGGTGTGGATATAGATAGTTGAAGTTATTAACCATCAGTCCCACCTCTTTCTGTTCTGCTGAATGTAAAATAGAGGCATGTGCAATTTGAAGTTCTCCTGTGTTAGCTTATTTGTTTCTGTCCTGTGGTTGATCTGCCTTTGAATTTAAGTTTGGAGCAAATGCACATGTGTGTGTGCATGAGGCTCTGCGTTTGTGTGTTTGTAATGTAAGCATATGTATTTACTCTTGCAGTGTACTAGAACTTAATATAAACGCATATGACATCTGATTTAAATGTTAGTTGTGGGACAATCTTGTATTGTAGCCTATTGTATTATAGTGTTTCTGAAGAAATCTGTAAACCTGCATATATTATGATTGCTCTGTTTCATCTAGTTTTTTTTGAGTGGATTTGTCTTGTGAAGGGTACAGTGGCCAATGTTAGGATCCAGAGAGAGGTTATGTAGGTTACATATACTGTTATGTAGGATATATCAGTAATATACTGTACAGTATGTTTCAGTGCATGTAGCAAACATACCAATAGGTACCCATATATGTGATCATTACAAATGCACAATTTGTTTTCCAGGGCTAAATTTTTTTTTAAGGCAGTCTCAAAATCTGGACCACTCACTTTACTGTACTGTACTTTAAATTTAAAGTGCACTTGGCAATCCAAATACTGCATTATAAAGTGAGGCTGTGCATGCATGTGTTTGTACATTATTACAGACCAAATCCGAACATGTTTTGAGAGTGCCCGCATGTAATTAAATAGGAAATGTGACTATTTTGTTATTGGGATACATTTTGTTTTTGTCACAAACAGTATGCCTCTCTGGGTATTTCATGAATATCGCTTGTACTTAAAGAACTCTGATTAGCTGCATGTTTCATTAAATAGAGAACATAATAAGTCTTGTTTAACTGGATTTAGTGTAGCACAGTATGTGAAATGCTCAGTCTTTAAATCAGTTGAAAGTCATTGTGCCGAGTTTTTGATGGCAGTTTTAAATGTGACACTTCTAATGAATTGTGTCTGTGTGTCAAAATATTGTGTAATTTAAATTTACTGGGAAAAAGACTTTAAGTATTGTGATGTTTTTTTGCCACACACTTCTATATTGAACCAGCCACTGACAGATGTGAGCCAGGTGGATTGGCAGTGCTTTAAAACCTGTGTAAGACCTATCAGCGGACACTGACACACAGGCTATGTAGGGTGCTTAAAATTAGCCTGCCAACAATGCAGAGATGGGTGAAAAGGACTTAGCATATCTTTTTTACCAGTCTATGGTTTGATGTATTGACCCCGAAGCTCCTTGACAAAGTCATGGGACATTATAACAGTGATTTTATTATAGGGAAAGAAAAAACACTTTTAAATTACTTCGTCAGAGTCCTTATTATTCAAGCACAAGCATCTATGTTCAAAATAATATTGCAGTGCTGTGTGGTTGTCCCCCCAAGTCAAGGCTAGTCAATTCTTTTACTGTACCTTTCGTTATTCCTTCTGAACCAGTAGAAAAGTACTTAATAGGTAAAATGAGTTCCCATATTTTCTGATCCTGAATTCTAAATAAAATGGGTCCTTTTTACTGCTTTGTACTGGACGAAAAGTTAAGTGTGAATCAAGAGTGTTAAAATTGAGTATATTCGATTTCCGGTTAGGAATGCGCTCCGAGTAGATGCGTGTTGGCACCACTCCCGTAGCTACACACTAATGTACTTTATACTTTTGCGACAACAGAGGTGTTATCTTGTTGAAAATTCCCCGACGCTTTCCTTATTTTGATTGGGGTTAGTCTGATGTCACACAATTTGAGTGAGAGAATACTGTGGCTCTCTCCAGTGCTCTACAGCTCATTGGCGACACTCTGGACTCAATTAAACAAACGCGGACCTTTCTCAGTGACGGGCCACCATTCGTGCGGTGAAAACACACAAAGAAGGGGTCCTGCTCTACCCTGCTCAACAATGTGTTGTTTCCATAGACGGATTCAAGTTTTTTGAAACTCCAGAGGTAGCCCAGGCGTTTCTGAAAGATCGCTACAATCACTGTGCTACTATTATGCCTTGTGAGGTAAAGTAGCTTTATGCTGCTTAATACCAGTGACTTGCTCCTGTTTCCATATTTCATGTTCTGTTAACCAGTAAGAGTTCACTTACATTTAGCTGTGATAAAAGTTCTCTTGGTGCACAAGCTGCAGTGCATATGTGAATAAGGTACTTAAGGTATTTCTCTAATTTTTCAATTATTGTTATTTTTATGCGGTTTATGCGGCTTGTGCATGTATAGAACCTCTTATGTTATGTAAGAAGTTATTACTTTCTCTATATGTCTTTTTGCTTACATATTCTATGCATATAGCAATTAGGCTTGGCCTTTCTGATAACTTAGTACCTAAGGACAAATAGAAAATGCACAAACACAAAGGTTAACACATAAATAGTTAGTTTCTGTGGTTAGTAAATACGTGTGGATGCTTGACCAAGATCTCAGGGGTTATTTTTTGTTCTGTTTTCCCCCCTCACTTTGCCATTTTCCCATTGTATAGGAATATGTGTTGGCAACTGCAGGAGTGGCGGTTTATTTAAAAAGTACATATGCTTGACATGTTTTAGGTCTGTTTGAGGAGTGTTCACTGGAAGTACATTCAAAATGTGTTTGGGGTGCGTTTTTTTTATTTATTTTTTTCCCCCTTTGCCCCCATCTCTCTAAACTTGAGCATACCAAACTCCGTAAACCCTGGGTTAGCCAAGTATTTCACTGTAACTATAGTAGTAGATCCAGGGGAGTAGCAATATTGATTTAATAAAAGAATACACTTTATACTTTCCAATATTATATCTGACCAGTATGGTAAATATGTTATTGTAGTGGGCTCACTTTTCCAAACTCGGGGGGTATGAATTAATATATATGCACCAAATTGGGATGATGTTGATTTTATGGGTAGGTTGCTGTCCATCATTCCTAATCTAAATTCACACTAATAAATTCTCAGAGGGGACGTTAATTGTGTGTGAATCCCACATTAGATCGGTCAAACTTGACATCAACAGTAGCCTCAAATTGCATCATCTTTGTCTTCCTTTATTGATGAAAACAGCTGTGTCGACCCATGGCGTGAACTTCACCCTCATTGAAGATGCTTTTCTTTTTGTTCTTAAGTACATTCTTCTTTTTTTTACCCAGTTGACTTTTTCTTTGTCAATCGCGAGCTCATGCAGTTTGTCACCCAAGCTGAGTACTTGCCGATAGTTATTTCAGACCATGCACCGCTGCAGATGGATCTTACCTTCAGTCATTATCAGAGAGATCGCCCTCAGTGGCGTTTTAATCCAACACTACTTTCAGAGGAGAATTTCTGTACAAAAATCTCAGATTCCATTAGTTTTTTCTTACACACTAAGAAAAAACATTTTCTTACAGTTACAAAACTGATTCTGTTTCTAATTCAGTGTTATGGAAGTCATTTAAAGCTGTTATTCGTGGTGAAATTATCTCCTACACCTCTTATATTAAGAACACAAACAAAAAAAAGTTGGACGAGCTTTCTACTTCCATGCTATCTTTAGATGGTCAGATTTCTTCCTGTCCCACTCCAGAATTGATTAAAAAGTGGCTTGACCTACGAGCAGAATTCAATTTGCTTTCCACATAATATGCCGAAGCCTTTATTTTACGTTCTCAAGGTTTTCTTCATGAGTGTGGGGATTAAAGCAGGTGACTATTAGTGCATCAGTTAAGGAGACAGGCTGCATCTAGAGTAATACACCAAATTAGGGACACTTATGGGAACTCATTGACTCATCCTAAAGACATTAACAAGGTTTTTAAAAAATTCTCCTCTTCGTTATATACTTCGGATGGCCCAGTTAACGCTACTGCTTTGCACTTATTTATAGATAAACTAGCACTCCTGGTTTTAGACCCTATACTGGCTGAAGAGTTGGATTGCCCGTTTACCTTAGGGCAAATTTCTGAAGCTATTAGATCCTTAAGTAGTGGTAAATCCCCAGGACCAGATGGGTTTGGAATAGAGTTCTTTAAGAAATTTGACAACCAACTGTCTCCTTTTTTGCTGGAAGTATTTAATGAGTCTCTGAGAAGGGCTTCTTTGCCCTTCTTTGCTTTGTAATGAGCACAAAATCCTAGCTAAGATT